AGCGCCCGTGGGGGGCACGGGGGGTAGCGTCCCCGAGGTACCCGATTCGCTAATTTCGCATATGTCGAGTATTATTGCCTTAGCTTTATTTTTTCGCGTCTCGTCTTTGACTCCGCCACAGCAGAAAGCTGTGGCGGCCTTGCTTGCGCAATCTCTTGGGTAGGTACGAACACTTCTCGATGTTCGACGAGTGATCATGCGGCGTGAATGCTCTTCCCTGGTCGCTGTTCGGCCAGTAATCCGCCCTTAGCTCCTATGAGGGGCGGGGTGTTGGGAGAGAAATGGTCACACAGGTTTGCCTGTGTAGGCTCTCTCCTAGTGCCGATTCAGACGGGTAAGGCGGCCTAAGTTAGTTTTAGGTCGCAGGGCGAGAAATGGCATCCCACTGTGTGGGAGGATCCAACTTTGGATCGTCACTCCTCATGTGATCGCGCCGGACATCGAGATTTGTGAGGCTCCAGTCTTGTGCGAGCATTGTACGCGTCGCGTCACCCTCGAGCAGTGCCTTCTGCACTGACTCGTACTTGTTTCTTACTTTGAAAGAATCACTGCCTTCTGCACTGATTCATTTTGGTCCCCGTGGATCGGAGACTTCTTCTTTGATCCACTTTGGTCCGCGATAGTACTTGACATATGCGAACGAGTGAGTGTGTGGGAATGTGTGATAGCTAGCTAGCGAGCGTATTAGTTTATAAGTCGTCGTTGTTAGAAAGGGAGCCATAGCGAATTCCGGCTTCGTTCTGACTCCCTTTCGGGTCTCTAAAGCAGCAACCTCCTCGCGGTGAGACCCGGGCAATCGGTATCATCCTCGGTTCAGGAAATATTGAGAATTGCAATGAATTTCTGGATCGAGGATGATACCGAGCAAATAGCTGCAAACTTTGTATTGTAACAAAGTATTTATTGTAAAAGTATGTGAAATTATACTATAAGTCGGGGCTCTGAATAATGTTTCGTTCGAAAATTGTTGAAATTGGTATTCCTCCGATCGGAGGTCCCTCAGGGGCTCGCTTGCGGGTGGGGCCCGTGGGCGAGTACGGGGGGTAGCGTCCCCGAGGTACCCGAGGCGCTTGTAGGTTGTTAGGGTTCTTAATTTAAGTTTGTTAAATTTTGTTTCATCCATTCTCTCAAAAATTGCACTCGTGTGCGGGTTAGTTTGGCACTCGTGTGCTGGTTAGTGTGGCACTCGTGTGCTGGTTAGCGTGGCACTCGTGTGCTGGTCAGTGTGGCACTCGTGTGCTGGTTAGCTTGGCACTCGTGTGCTGGTCTTAGGTTTCCTAATTTGACTTGTCACCTATTTTGTATTCGTACTAACTAGAATTCAATCTTTTCAGATTCATTACAGATATTATCATCCGCCGTGGGATTTTCATCCGCCGTGGGATTCTCATCCGCCGTGGGATTTTCATCCGTCGTGGGATTCGTCTTAACTAATAAGTGCGTGCGACTTAGTTATTAAGTGCGTGCGACTTAGTTATTAAGTGCGTGCGACTTAGTTAATAAGTGTGTGCGAGTTAGTTAATAAGTATATGTGAGTTAGTTTAAGATTCTTAACCTCTTGCCGTACTGTAACGGGTCCAGCTTTTAATAAAGATTTCTCTTTAGAATGAATATTATTTTGCTCTTACAACTTTATCTAAATTTCTCTTCTTTTCACCACAATATTTAATTGCTCAAGAAGTGTAGTCTCACAGTAAACTCAAATTTTTTTCTCCTTCTGAGAAATAATTACAATCGAGAAATTTCTAGTCATCATAAATTTAAAGAGAATGGTATGGCAAGGGGTTAAGTTCCCTCAGGGGCCCCCGACCCACGGGAGCGCCCGTGGGGGGCACGGGGGGTAGCGTCCCCGAGGTACCCGATTCGCTAATTTCGCATATGTCGAGTATTATTGCCTTAGCCTTATTTTTTCGCGTCTCGTCTTTGACTCCGCCACAGCAGAAAGCTGTGGCGGCCTTGCTTGCGCAATCTCTTGGGTAGGTACGAACACTTCTCGATGTTCGACGAGTGATCATGCGGCGTGAATGCTCTTCCCTGGTCGCTGTTCGGCCAGTAATCCGCCCTTAGCTCCTATGAGGGGCGGGGTGTTGGGAGAGAAATGGTCACACAGGTTTGCCTGTGTAGGCTCTCTCCTAGTGCCGATTCAGACGGGTAAGGCGGCCTAAGTTAGTTTTAGGTCGCAGGGCGAGAAATGGCATCCCACTGTGTGGGAGGATCCAACTTTGGATCGTCACTCCTCATGTGATCGCGCCGGACATCGAGATTTGTGAGGCTCCGGTCTTGTGCGAGCATTGTACGCGTCGCGTCACCCTCGAGCAGTGCCTTCTGCACTGACTCGTACTTGTTTCTTACTTTGAAAGAATCACTGCCTTCTGCACTGATTCATTTTGGTCCCCGTGGATCGGAGACTTCTTCTTTGATCCACTTTGGTCCGCGATAGTACTTGACATATGCGAACGAGTGAGTGTGTGGGAATGTGTGATAGCTAGCTAGCGAGCGTATTAGTTTATAAGTCGTCGTTGTTAGAAAGGGAGCCATAGCGAATTCCGGCTTCGTTCTGACTCCCTTTCGGGTCTCTAAAGCAGCAACCTCCTCGCGGTGAGACCCGGGCAATCGGTATCATCCTCGGTTCAGGAAATATTGAGAATTACAATGAATTTCTGGATCGAGGATGATACCGAGCAAATAGCTGCAAACTTTGTATTGTAACAAAGTATTTATTGTAAAAGTATGTGAAATTATACTATAAGTCGGGGCTCTGAATAATGTTTCGTTCGAAAATTGTTGAAATTGGTATTCCTCCGATCGGAGGTCCCTCAGGGGCTCGCTTGCGGGTGGGGCCCGTGGGCGAGTACGGGGGGTAGCGTCCCCGAGGTACCCGAGGCGCTTGTAGGTTGTTAGGGTTCTTAATTTAAGTTTGTTAAATTTTGTTTCATCCATTCTCTCAAAAATTGCACTCGTGTGCGGGTTAGTTTGGCACTCGTGTGCTGGTTAGTGTGGCACTCGTGTGCTGGTTAGTGTGGCACTCGTGTGCTGGTTAGTGTGGCACTCGTGTGCTGGTTAGCTTGGCACTCGTGTGCTGGTCTTAGGTTTCCTAATTCGACTTGTCACCTATTTTGTATTCATACTAACTAGAATTCAATCTTTTCAGGTTCATTACAGATATTATCATCCGCCGTGGGATTTTCATCCGCCGTGGGATTCTCATCCGCCGTGGGATTTTCATCCGCCGTGGGATTCGTCTTAGTTATTAAGTGCGTGCGAGTTAGTTGATATGTGTGTGTGTGTGTCTTAGTTTAAGGTTCTTAACTTCTTGCCGTACTTTAACGGGTCTAGCTTTTACTAAAGATTTTTCTTAAGAATGAACATTATTTTATTCTTCCAATTTCGTCTAAACTTCTCTTCTTTTCACTACAATATTTACTTGTTCAATGAAATGTAGTCTCACAATAATTAGAAATTTTCTTCTCCTTCTGAGAAATAATTATAATCGGTATATTTCTAGTCATTATAAATTTAAAGAAAATGGTGCGGCAAGGGGTTAAGTTCCCTCAGGGGCCCCCGACCCACGGGAGCGCCCGTGGGGGGCACGGGGGGTAGCGTCCCCGAGGTACCCGATTCGCTAATTTCGCATATGTCGAGTATTATTGCCTTAGCCTTATTTTTTCGCGTCTCGTCTTTGACTCCGCCACAGCAGAAAGCTGTGGCGGCCTTGCTTGCGCAATCTCTTGGGTAGGTACGAACACTTCTCGATGTTCGACGAGTGATCATGCGGCGTGAATGCTCTTCCCTGGTCGCTGTTCGGCCAGTAATCCGCCCTTAGCTCCTATGAGGGGCGGGGTGTTGGGAGAGAAATGGTCACACAGGTTTGCCTGTGTAGGCTCTCTCCTAGTGCCGATTCAGACGGGTAAGGCGGCCTAAGTTAGTTTTAGGTCGCAGGGCGAGAAATGGCATCCCACTGTGTGGGAGGATCCAACTTTGGATCGTCACTCCTCATGTGATCGCGCCGGACTTCGAGATTTGTAAGGCTCCGGTCTTGTGCGAGCATTGTACGCGTCGCGTCACCCACGACTCAGTGCCTTCTGCACTGCCTCGCAGTTGTTTCTGACTTTGAAAGAATCACTGCCTTCTGCACTGATTCATTTTGGTCCCCGTGGATCAGAGACTTCTTCTTTGATCCACTTGGTCCGCAATAGTACTTAACATATGCGAACGAGTGAGTGTGTGGGTGTGTGCTAGCTAGCTGGCGAGCGTGTGTGTTAGTTTATAAGTCGTCGTTGTTAGAAAGGGAGCCATAGCGAATTCCGGCTTCGTTCTGACTCCCTTTCGGGTCTCTAAAGCAGCAACCTCCTCGCGGTGAGACCCGGGCAATCGGTATCATCCTCGGTTCAGAAAATCTTGCGAATTGCAATGAATTTCTAGATCGGGGATGATACCGAGCTAATAGCTGCTAATTTTGAATTCTGTTATTGATATTTTCTAATCGTAGATGACGTTATTATGTGTGTGTATGTGTGTGTGTTACGTTTATTGATAATTAATTTATAGAAATTTTATTGTATTCCTTATATGAAAAGAAAAAAGAGAAGTGGAAATACAAGAGAAGTAAAATTGTAGAGGAATTGCTAAAAGGAAAGTGAAATGATATTGCAAAGAATTACAAAGGAATCGTTTTAAGAGAAGAGGGTGATGATGCACAATATATGATGAACTATAAGGACAAGTTCCTGATATAGGTGATTGTCTGACTTTGTGGTTTTCAATTGTATCAACAAAGTATGTTAATTAGCTCACTTTTCTTGCAGATCTTTCTAAAAAAAAATGGATGACAAAAAATTTAGTACCTAAATATAAGTCGAAAAATTTAAACTTAACGAAACGTGAGTTACTTTAACGCTTTGGTATCAATTACATTAAATAACTTTATACATTAGGTAGCAATATTCCGAGTAAAATAGTTTTAAATAAAAATAATTTTATACAATACGATTACAACACTATACCAATTTTATTTGTTATTTATTAATTACTGCATTGTATATAAGAATTCTCGAATAAAATCATTGTCTTGAATCACAGATTGAACATTATTTAGTACATTTATTTATATTCTTTAAAATAAATTATGTTAGCCCGCGCGTTACTACTAAATTGCAAATATTGATAAAATTAAACTTAAACTTTCATCGATCAATGTAAGCAGAAATTAAACAAGAGTTCATTTGCAAGTTTTTGACATTTATGCGCGTATGCGATGGAAAGTATCATATAATAAAATTCTTATTTTATTGTTTCTTATATTCGCATAGTTTGGTTTTATTAAAGTGCGCGTTAATTGTACTCGGCTGATCAACATTTTATGTTCTATTAAAATACTGTCGCATGAAACTAGATTGCTCGCGTCATCTAAACTTTAAAATAGTTTAATTAAATTAAGTAAACTGAATGACTAAAATATCTTTTTCTGTAACGAAGCTTCAAGCGGTTGTAAAACAATGGTCTCCGACGTCTGTATCAATTCTTACAACCTATCTATCTCCATTTCTAGTTCTTTGATATGTCAGTTCCGAAAACAGCACAACTCTTTCATTATTGTCTTCTCTTTCTTGATTTTCTTGACTTTCACGCGATCCTGTATAAACAAAGATTCAAAGTTTTGCACTACAAATTGGAGTATGCTAGACATTATAACTTACTCTCAACAACACCACTGTTAGTACTGCTGAAACGCATTGTCTTCACTGTTATCGTCTAACAACCCTGATCTTTTCTGTTTTCGCGCCAACGTCTACAGACATCGCATTCCCATGGGTTCACATCGTTTATGGTTTTCTGAAGCTTCTGAATTCCTAAACTCAACTCTGCGTTCTGTAAGAAACGATTTAAATGAAAAATTCGTTGATATTAGAAGCAGAAGACCCTGTACTTATTCATACCTTATTACGGAAGGCGAACAACTGTTCCTCCAGTTCCTTACACTTCCTCCGATATGGGAAATTTTCAGATTGAATCTGAATTTCCAACGCAGCCAGCTTCTCATTCTTCGACATCAGTTGCAGCTCCAGATCCTGAATCTTCTTTTCAAGTACCTGTGATTTATCGTTCTCTTCGGTGACGTTATGTCGCAATTGCTTCTTCACGTGCTCGTCACTCGTGATGGTATCATTCCACAATTGATAATCAAATTCTCCAATACCGTTGTTGATGCTCTTGTTACTTCTAGACCGCTTTTGAAGCTCTCCGATCTCGCTCTTCAACTTATTGTTCTCTTCCTTCATGATCTTCAGGGTCTCCTTCAGCTTCGAGATCTCGATGTCTCGCTCGTGGATGGTCGACGCACACTTTCCAAGCTCGATGTCCAGATCTTTATTTTTCGACGCCAAATCTCGTATCTTGTTGGCGTACTCCTTCAGATTCTTCTCCTTCTGGTTTAGTTCAGATGTTCGACCTTCTAGTTCGTATGTGATCTTGTTCTCATCGTGAAGCGAGTCGTCTAGTTTTTCTAGCTTCACTCTCACCTCCAAGTGTGATTCGTCCAGTTTACTCTTATACAGTTGCAGTGCCTTCATTACCTCGAAGTTCTCCTTCGATAGGTTGTCGCACTGCCGTCTCGAGTCCGCCAACGCCTTCATGATCTCGTACTTCTCACCCTGAAGTTCGGTGACCCGGTTCCATGCGCCTTCCAAGTTGCTAGGCTCCTTCTTGCTAGAGTCCCTGGACTGGTCCATTATCGATGTGTCCCGTATTGAAATGTTCGCGTCGCTGCTGTTTAGTTTTGTCTCTGTACACCTCTTCGAGCTGATCAGCTTGTTTTGCAGGTCAAGGTTCTCCCTCTTCAATATCCGAATCACGTTCTTGTTCTGTCGCGTCTTCACGTCATCATCGCTTGACGTCTTCTCTCTATACATCTGCAGCCTCATCCTTAGAGTTTCAACCTGGTCATGAAGCTTCTCGTTCTCTTCGTTTAGGCTATCCACCTTCTCCTCCAGCTCTCCGATGCGGGTATTCTCGGTGAAACGGGAATGTAGCTTGCTCTCGAACTCAGAGATCTCGACGCTTCGCTCCTTGATGATCACCGCGTAGTCCTCCAGCGCCTCGTTCAGTTCCTTGTTCTTTTCCTGAAGCTGTTGCACCTGGCTAGCGTACTCGTTAATCTTTTTTTCCTGTTGAGTCAGCTGCAGCTTCTTGTACTCTAGCTCGAGAGCGATGGTATTTTTCTCGAGCAGAACCTCGTCGAGCTTGCTCTCATGCGACGACATATTTAAAACATCGTACTTGATCTCGTACGAGGATAAGGTCTTTTTGATCTCGGTGTTCTCCTGCAACAGCAAATCGTACATGGCCTTAGTATCGATCAGTTGCGTTAGAGTCTGGTTCCTGATTTCCTGGAGCTCCATCACGCGATTGCTCGCGCCCTCCAAATTACTCTCCAGCCTTTTGTTCTTCTCCTTCAACTCCTCTATCGCTGCCTCAGCTCTGATCTTGCTGGTGCTGCATCTGACCTTCCGCTCCAATCTAGCGTTCTTCTGCTGGAATTCCTCGTACTTCTCTCTCAACTCGTTCAGTTCCTCTATCATAGCGACGTTCCTGTTGTTCAGCTGTTTGCTCAGCCCGGCGTTTTTGATTTCCTCCTCCTTAAGTTTGTCCTTGATCGTTTCGAGTTGCTCCTCCTTCTCCGTCTTCAATTCCTTGATTTCCTGCCTGCATCGCTCTATGATTACTTTCTGGTCGCCGACATGATCTTTCAGCATCTCGTATTCCGGCAGGATAGCCTCAAGTTTAGTTCTGTACTCGGACAACGAGTCGCATTTACTCTTCAAGATCGCCGAAATGTCTTCCATATGCGCAGTTTTCTGATCCAACTGCTGACACACTTCGTTGTAAGCCTCTGTCAGCTGTTCGAGTTCCGCTCTTATTATCTTCACGTTCTGATTGCTCTTCTTGATCTGGGCCGTGTTCGCTTCAATGATGTTCTTCAGCTGCTTCTCGTTGACCTCGAGCCCCTCCACGACACTGTTCATCTCCAGGTTCTTCGTCTTGTAACAGTCCAGGGCACGAGTGAGCTCGTTGATTTTCTTCTCGTATATCTCGCTTTCTGCCTTGAGCTTCGATTGAAACTCCAGCTCGTTCTTCTTAAATATTTCTTGCAATTCTTTTTCCCTCTTCTGAGCCACAATGATCGCATCCTCCTGCTTGCTGTCAGTCTTCTCGTACTCTGCCTGCAAGTTGTGCAAATCTATCTCGAGTGTTTTTGTGTTTTCTCTGAGTACCTCATTCTCACGGGAGCACTCCCTAAGAAGACAGTCCAGCTGAGAGATCTTGTTCTCATATTTCTTTTGGCTGTGCTCCCGTTCCGTCAGTTCTGTCTGCAACTTCTCGATCTCGCTCTCCAGTTCCCTCGCCCAGGTTGTTGCACGTTTTTCCGTATCTGCACTTTGCTGTATCTCGTCCTCTAATATCCGTTTCTCCCCTTCATATGTTTCTCGCATAGATTTGATCATTTCCTGTTCTTTTGAGACCAGAGTCTGCAGTAGAATTAGAAAGATCTCGTTCACAGATTGTTTAGAGATTTCCACGGAGTTGATGCTGCACTTGAGAGATCTCAACTCATTCATCATGCATAGCCTGATGTCGCTTAGCTCCTCATTCAGCTTCTCCTCGATACTCTTCAGTTCGTTCAGTTCCTGTTTCAACTTCAGATTCTCGTCAACGTACCTGTTTAATGTGTCGTTCAACATTCGAAGATTGTTCGTGGATTCTTCGCCGTGATGCTGATACTGCATGGACATTGAGTCAAATTCGCTCTTGTACCTCGCTTCTAAGTGCTTCTCTTGCTTACTCCGATGATAGAGCTGTTCCGCATGAACGCCATTCTCTTGAAACTCTTCGCAGCTATTTTCGACAGCTATTTTCGACAGAGCCTGCTGGTCTGACTCTTCACGTTGCTTGCTCAATAACTCCAACTCTTCCATGTACTTGTTGTCCATAGTGTTTGTAATCGGCAAGTCATTTTTCAAGGACTCAATCAACGTGGTCTTATTGTCCCATTCAACCTTCAATTCTTCCAATTCCAGCTCTAAAGTCAATCTCTGACTTTCAAGCATCTTCGCTCGAGCAGAGAACTGCTCGAGTTCCTCGCTCATGTTGGCCAGATCGCTCTTGAGAACCTGTATCTTCTTCGTCGCGATGTTCTCTTTCATATACAGCTTCTGTTTCAGTTCCTCGTTGTTGGTTCTCAAGCCATTGTTCTCCTTCAACAAGCTCGCCTTTTCGCCTGTAAACTGATTCAGCATAACCGTAACGTTTGTATTGTTCTTCCTCAACTCATTTATGTCAACCTTCAGTTTGATCATATGGCTCTGAATCTGGTCCAATCTGCAACTGTTCTTTTCGATATGTTTTTTTGGAGTAAATGTCGATTCTTCGTCGATAGCCAGTTCATTGTGTAGCTGTTCGAGCTCGTTGAACTTATCCTCATACAGGGTAGTTAGCATCTGCAGATCATTGTTCAAGGTCCGGACCCTCTCCTCGACAAAGCTAACATCCATATTGTCGACGAAACTAGCCTTTTGAAACAGTTCATGGCTGCTTGTGTTCAGTTCTTGGTTGATCTTGTTCTTTAGGATCTCAGCGTCCTCGTACTTTCGGTCAAACTTCCTCTGGTGATCATCGATCTTCTGGTTCAGTGTCTTGGCCTCCAATTTCAGAGCACTTCGACTCTTGTTCAGGTTCTTCAGATGAGTGCATTGATTGCAAGATGTTAACTTCAAGTTGCTTAGGTTTTTGTTCAGTCGGGTCAGTCTATTGATCTTTTCCTCCATAGTTGCAACCTTATCGGCAAGTGTCAGAGCCTCATGATCATCTCCCTGAAGGAGCTCCTTACAGATGCTCCCCGCGCTATCGTCGAGTAGTTTCTCATTACGAGAACTGTCGAGATCTTGGATAGTCTTCGAGAGTTTCGTATTCTCTTCACACAATGTCGTCACCTTTGTCTTTAGTTTTATGATTTCCGCTTTCAGCAGATTGTTTTCCAATTGAAGATCGTTCGTAGTATCTCCGGAGGGACTTTTGATCGTCTCCAAGGATTGCTCCATCTTTATCTTCAGTATCTCATGCTTCTCCTTCACTTCGTCGATCTCTTCGATCTTATCCATCAAGTCGGTAGAGAGTTCGTCGTACTCCGCCTATAAACACTTGTTCCTCTCCACGAGAGTAGCTATCTTCTCCTTGTACATGCACTCGTGATCGAACTTGCTCTCCTTGTGTCCTTCAGCTCCTTGTTCTTCTTGGTAAATGTCAACGATCGTAGCAGACAACCACATTTAACTTGACTAATATCACTGAACAGCTTTCATTTGAATTTAAACTTCTCGTCATCAGATTGGCTGGCTCGATCATAGATCTATTATGAACGAGATAGAAGAGAATAAACGAATACGCAAGAGCCATCTATAGAAAAATATATAGCCATTGCGCAGCCGCCTTAATACTTCGTAAATGTGAATCCGCCTTGTTATTTTGATATTCCAAAGATCAATCTCTAATGCGCATATTGACATCTGGCGTTTTCATGCATAATACTGTAGACACTATTCCCGAAGTTTGAATTTATCCTCAACCTCTTCCTCTGTTTTGAAATCTTTCTTGAGTTTTTGTTTTTTTTTCATCAACTGCATGATTTTGTTCAACTTTGTCTGTGAACTCATATGTTTACAATAGTTTTCATACTGTATCTTTTTGATATTTTAAAGTATGCAACACCTGCTATCTTTTTCACTGTAACTAGTTGAATTAATAAGGCTATGTAAGTACACAACTATCCTCCACATTGTCAGGATATTCAGAAATATGCTTTTTAACACTCTGCTCAATGGCATTTTCCATCAACAGAGATTTTCTGAATGCTGCAATTTGTCTGAAATCAGGTTCAAAACGAAACACGTGGAATATACTATATTTATGGAATATATCGTATTATAAATATTATTTGACAAGTACAGGAACAGAAATGATTTGCTTACTTCTCTGGAGTTAAACTCCTGAAACAGTTCTCTCAGCTACCGCTGCTTTTGATTACGAAAACTTGTTTTTTCGACATTTTCAATGATATTCTCATCGCTGTCAGAAATCACGAACTAACTTCCCTTATCAGAAATCTGAAAGCGAATCACGCTACTGATTGAAACTTCCATCTATCTGAACGTATGTAAGTTTCATTGCTTTAAAATCACACGAATTTACATAAGTACATATTTTACGAGTAACCAACCTTTATTTTCCTGCTGAATTTACTTCGAAAATAAATAATCATTCTATCAGAATCAGACATTGAAATTTTACCAAAATATTATTTAGCGATGCTTACTATTAGTTTAGTGGGCGACGAGCAGCAACGAGCGCCAATATGTGCATCGAAGATTGGAGAATACAGTACATAATATGTACTTCAAGTTTTGCAAGACTCTCCGATCGCAACGCGCTCCGATAGCGAGGATACGATTGGAAATTGCTTTGCTCTGATTAGCTGACCGATTGGATGCACAGTAAACTGGCGAGGATGCTTGCAAAAGCTAAGGGAGGTAGCAAAATCGTGCAAAACCTGAATTTGAATCTGTCTTTTTCTACGAAGTGGTTTCATGCTCAGCAGTAATAGATGCTGCTTTCAGATATATAGTATATGCTCTAAGTCTATGGTTTAGGAGTGCATTCCCCATATAGTGTTCTCACATTCCCACGGACTTAGCCGTGGATAAGCGTGGTCATTCCCTTAAATGTCACGTGACTACATCCGTGACGTCATGGATGAGCAATTCAGCAGAGTAAGGGTAGAGGGCAGTGAAGTTGACCAACGAGAAGTGAACAATCACAACCGTGGAAACATTCTTGGCAACAATCCTGCCCTCTATCCCTATTCTTCCGAACTGCTCATCCGTGACATCACGGATAGAACACGTGTCAATTGTAGGAATGCACTGCACAGCAACGGTAACGATGTTCAAGCTCAAGCCTGTTCAGGACCATGTGGTCCTGCAACAAGAAACAATTGAGAAGCTTTCTGTGTTGAAGAAGGAAGTTGAAAATATAACATTACAGAGAAGCAGATTGAAAGAGAAGATGCAACTGAAATAGATTCACGATACGATGGCTGAGAAGAGCGATTTGGACGGCATTGATGCCGAATTGTGATCCCAACTGATGCAACGAACTTCCGAATCGTCAATTGTGAATGTATCGAAACAGGCTGAAAGTCAGAATGTGATACGGACTATCTCTGTATTCGAAAAACAGCTTGAAAGCAACTGTTTTCACGAAAATGAAACAAATAATCCGTGAGTCACACAGGATACGAATAAATATTAAGTTATTCTCGTCGAATAATGCTACGAGCTTTTTCGTGATTCGATTGGAGTACATTACTTAACATAAACGTATTGGATAGCGTGAAGGTTGCGATTAAAGGAAGACCGTTGATTAAATGTGAGCAAGACAGAAATGTGTAAATGGAACTGAGTTTGTTATAGCATCACACATGTGTTTAATGGTTAATGCTACAATTGCTGGTTCCTCTAACATGCCCATCATTATGTATGTTTTGCCAAAACTTGTTTCCCCATAAGTAAGCACAGTTCAATTGATTCCATTTACAGCATCAACAATGGGCTTTACTATACTATCGAATACACCTGAATTCGATGCATTCGTATAAAAAATATGATCTGAATCCACCATCTCCATACTTCTTCAGCTCTGTGTCGATCAACACAATAGAATTTCCTTGAACTGTCCATTGTATCTGCACATTTCTGTCTTGCTCACATTTAATCAATGGTCTTACTTTAATTGCAACCTTTACGCTATCCAATATGTTTATGTTAAGTAATGTATTCCAATCGAATCATGAAAAAGCTCATAATCATATCAAGTGTGATCCACGAACTATTTTTTTCATTTTCGCAAGAAACAGCCTGTTTCAATATATCCACAGTCGACAATTCGGAAGTTCGTTGCATCAGTTGGGATCGCAATTTGGTATTACTATCTTCCAATTGGTTCTTTTACTAATTAATAGTTCGGAGATAAATCTTTGAATGGACATGCACATTTCAGCATTCTGTAAAATACTCTAACAGTCTCCTGTATGTATGCTTCCAACAAAAATTTAAGCAACATGTTACACCGATGCGTATTCTTCAGTGTAGATAATAAGTGTATGTAATAAGAATAGAGTTTTGTGAAAAATTGCCCTAACAGGTTTAAGAAGAAGATAAAAGCACGTACATTAAAAATTTATGTGGAAGAAGTACTAACATTTAACATATACTACTGTTAAAATTAAATTATCGTAACAGAAGAATTTGTACCCTGATAATCGACCTGGTGAGAACAGTTCAAAAGTAAATCTTTTTAT